TCATCAATTCTAAAGGTTTACCAAATATTTAGAGAACTGGCGTCCCGCCTATTGTTGACAGGGTTGGTAGCGGCTCAGTCCTTAGCTCCGGGTTCTCCTATTGGTCCCGTCCCGTCAGATTCAAGTTCTCCCTGTCGCCACCTCTCTCTCCTAGTCTCTCAGTCAGGCAGAGAGGTTTGTTCTGTCAAGAGAGAAGTTTTGTGAGTTGTGCGGCACAGAATGGTTTAGCCGCCATCTAAATAGTGTTCAATATAAACCATATATGGATATTGGATAAAGGGTTGGATAGAGGAAAAGCATTAATTTAGAACCAGGCTGACGGAGAAAACTTGTTTCCGTTATTTCCGACTAATGGGATTAAATCTGGTTTAAGTTTGAATAGGCACTGAAGAGAACCATGCTGGGGAGTGTAGTGTTATCAGCTAGACCGAGAAGCACAAACTTCTCAATAGAGGCAATAATCTCGGATACTAAGAGAGAAGAGGAAGAAGATGAGGATGTTGATATTGAAGGAGAAGAGGATGAGGATCAGGGGGATGAGAGACAGGAGTCTCCAGTAGAGGAGAAATTCAAGAAGAAAGAGAAGCGTCCCAAAGTTGTTGAGAGATCTACTTGCTCCGAACTAGACGGAGTCAAGTGTACCCTGGACAACAAGGAGCTATGGGACAAGTTCTGTGAGTTTGGAACAGAGATGATTATTACAAGAACAGGACGGAGAATGTTTCCTACAGTGAGGGTTAGCTTCTCCAACCTTGAGACTGAACCTGGCACTAAATACTTGGTTCTCCTGGATATAGTTCCTTGTGACAACAAGAGATATAGATATGCATACCATAGATCAGCTTGGTTGGTGGCAGGTAAAGCTGACCCACCTCCTCCCCACCGTTTATACGCGCACCCAGACGGTCCTTTCACAGGAGAACAACTCAAGAAACAAGTTATCAGCTTCGAGAAAGTAAAAGTTACAAACAACGAAACTGATAACACAGGACAGGTTAGTGCACTTAACAACTCTGAATATTCAGTCTGATTTTGATAATATAAGAACATTGTAGATACGTACATACATTTATCAGCACAAACTAGGTTCCACCGGAAAAATGAATAGTTTTGAAAATATTTATTCAGTTTTGCTGAAACGCCATTTTATTCTGTATTTTCTTCCTCGGGCTTGCTGTTTTCTACAATTTATTTTGTATTATTCCCTATGTTTTCTGATTTCTCTCTTTTTATTCTTTGTACTTTTTGATTTCAAGATTCTTATTTTTATTTCCTAATTCCTCTTCTATTCTTTTTTACCTGTTATTTCTGTTTTCTGATTTTTTGTTTATTATAATTTGATTTTTATCTGCGAAATTTTCATTGTTTTTTATTTATAGTTTCTCTTTTTTGAACTCTTTGCCTTTATTTTATCTCTGCTCTTTGCTTCGTTTGTTCTTTTTCCTCTTTTCTAATGTTTCTCTTTTATCGTTCTCAATTGGAATATTCTGGTATTGCAGTATTTCCTTTTTATTTATTAACTGTTTTATATTTTCTGCTAAATTTTCTCAGTTCTCTCTTCTCTGGACACTGTTGCCTATTCTCTGTTTCTATTTTTATGTTATCTGCTCTGTGATCAAGGTTCTCTTCTCAATTTTGAGTTCTCTGATCACATAGATCCAGTCTGTTAGGAAATGTCATGCACTGGGTCGACTTTCAAGTGTCGCAACTTACGTATACTATTTTGTAACCCTAGACCTAGACATGTACATTTAAAAACTAGACATCACTTGATCTCTATTCTCTCTGTTTTCTGTTCTCTACTATCTTTTTTGTTCTCATGTCTTTATCCTCCGTTAGGGGCTCTTTGTTGTCTGGTATCTGTTCTGTATTTCTGCTTTCTATTATCTCTCTTCTCTCTACTCTAACCTTTATTCTCTGTTTTTTGTTCTCTGTTCTTGTTCTAATATTGAGTTCTCTGATGCTTACTTTGTTCTATGATTCTCTCGGTTCTTTTTTTCTATTTCTATTTTCCAGTCTCTGTTCTATGTTTTCTGTTTCTGTTTCATAGTCTCTGTTCTCCGTTCTCTATTTCTGTTTCCTAACCTCTGTTCTATGTTCCCTATTTCTGTTTTCTAACTCTGATCTATGTTTTCTGTTTCTGTTTCATAGTCACTGTTCTCCGTTCTCTATTTCTGTTTCCTAACCTCTGTTCTATATTCTCTATATCTGTTTTCTAACTCTGATCTATGTTTTCTGTTTCTGTTTCATGGTCTCTGTTCTCTGCAGCTGGTTTGGGGGCATGGGTGGGGGGTATAAGGGATATCGTATCGACGTATAAGAATGTATTTGGATTTCTATTGTCTGGAGTTTGCTCCAGGTTTGGTTCTCCTGTCAACCAATCAGTCTAATCAACCCAACCTACAAAACTAGATCAGAGATTAAATAAAATCCTGAAACTATTGTGCTAGTAAGTCAGCTATCACCTACCTATAAAATAAACCTATTCTGCTCAAATATCCTACTGGATACTTGCTAAACTTGCTAATCTTTAAAAATGTTCTCTTTAGCTTAAAAAAAATTTTACAAGCACACATATATTGCCTGTTTTTACTTAAAGATCCGAACAGAAAACGATGTTCAAGAAACATTTTCCAAGTCAAACTTGGCTTGATGCACTTAGTCTGAATTTAGATCTATTGTACAGAGCTTCACTGAAATTTAGAACCGTTTTGCTTGCTAGGATCAAACCTATAGATACTATATAGTTATTAACTTATATATGTATTTAAGCTTCAAGGAGGTCTACAATCACATCCAACTGCTCCTTTCCTTCCTTTCCCCTTTTCTCCCCATTTCCCCCTTTCTATCCCCCCCCCCGCTACGCAAGTTCTCTGCGTTCTATTCCCTTCTCTATTCCTTTCGATGTAAACTAAATACATTCAAGAGTTCTCTCTTCAAATCCTCTCTCCTCCTTCTTCCCATCATCCCCGCCCCCTCAAAGTATTTATGGCCTTGTTAATCTTATCTTGAACTACATAACTTGTTCCTCCGCCCCCAACTTCGGAAAATATTCTGAATCTTATCATTTACTAAAATAAAAACATATTTTTATCTTCACAACGTTTTTTACTAATAAATTCTTACATTTGACATTAATTTAGTTCTATTCAGTTCTAGTTCGTATCGTTCTCTGAATGCGTCAAGTCTTAAATCTGATTCTAGCTTAATTCTGCAACCTTTGTTCTTAGTTACGCAAAAAGATGGTGAATTCTTTCGACGAGCCTTTAAAAATATTAGGCGTGTTTACATTATTAAGCTTCCTTCTGAAATTGTTCATTTATTTATTGTTAAATGGAAACGAGCACAGAAAGATTTCACTAAATTGTTGTACGAAAAAAAGATGAAAAAATGCCCATTCAGCGATTCACATTCTCTGGGTTGGGGTTTGCCAAATACTACTACATTATACTTTGCTTTAAATAAGGTTTTCATCGAAAAATGAAAATATTTTTTTAAAAATTCATTTTTAATTGTAATTTTTTTGTTTTAGGTTATCCTGAACTCCATGCACAAGTTCCAGCCCCGGGTCTACCTTGTACGGAGGAAGGACGGAGAAAGTTCCTCTGTCTCCGATATTGAGAGAGAAGAGTTCCGGAGTTTTGTATTTCCAGAAACACAGTTTACAGCGGTTACTGCATACCAAAATCAATTGGTAAGCATAAAAAAGAGAATAGGGTCTTATTCGTTCTTTTGTATTAATTATCGGATAAAAATATAATTGATATAAAACGATACCATTTCCTGTAATTTAATTTTACTACAGTGATAACCAGAAAACTCTGGAATAGAAAGACGACTTTTACACTCAAGAGATTACTCTAAATAGTCCTATGAGCTTGGGACATAGAAATTGTGCAGTATAAGCAGAACCATTTCACGAAATTAGTAATTTAATATTTGTCTAGTAAACTATTTGCTTTGTAACACTATCAAATAAACGTAAACATTACGTTAAAGTCGTCTTCCTTTTTCAGAGTTTTCTGGTTATCACTTTAGTTTTATCGGTAATCTGTAAAGTTTGTATTTAAAGATTTAATGATACGTTTTATTTTTTGAAAACAAGAACACTTTAATGTGTTTATTTGATTATGATTTATTTTTTAGATAACGAAATTGAAGATTGAATCAAATCCGTTTGCTAAAGGATTCCGAGATTCATCATCTCAGGACGGAGACGAGTCTTATTCTTCCCCGTTCGGGTTTAACTCTCTCCCAGGAGGGATGCCAGGTTTAGATCCCTTCTCCCATCTCCGGGGAGGATCTCAGTCAGAAAACAACAATCTCATGGAAGCAGCAGAGAAGGCTAGACTGATGATGATGTATAGAAATAGTTCTCTTTTATCCCATGGTATTCCCCGACCTCCTCCTCTTCCTACCATCCCTCACCTACCCCTTCCCCCAGACCTTTTGGCCAGATATAGTGCTATGCAGGCTACCCTAGGGTTGTACAACCCTTCCTTCCTGGCGGCTGCTCTCCGGTCCTCAGCTCCGACTTCAATACAATCCCAGATCCTTCAACCCAGTAGATCAATGTCTCCAAAGTCAAGAGATTTAAGTGGAAAACCATCACGGTTTTCACCTTACGTTCTTCCATCTTCTCGGAGTGCTGACTCTCCGTCCCACCAGTCCACCGCTAGTGATGGAGAACCAAGGAGTCCTAGTCCTCGGAGTTCTCCTCCAGCTCATCCTCCATTTTCTCTCTACAGATAGTTACCTTCTCTTTTTTTAATCTATAGACACTTTAAACTACTTCCTTGCTCCATCATATTCCTAGTCTTGACCTCCAATATAGTTGTGTTAATCAATCTCCAGCTAAAAATCTATGATATCTAACCATATCTACGTCCTTTTGTTCCTTGCTAGTCAAAGTTTACATATCTTGTTGTTTTAGATTAATCTAATTAAATGTATTCCTGCTGAAAAGAATCCTCGTGTAATCTCATATCGTTTCAAACCTTTATATATTTAAATATTGATGTTTAAAATAGAATAAATTTGTGGTAGAACTTTGGAAATACTTCTTCACTTAATGCACATTTTCAATAGAATTAAAGGAATACAGTTTTTGCCACAAACTCTGATTTATTAATACTGATATCTTGACAACCCGATGTTGTAGACCTTAGATATTTCAAACTATGAATTCTGCTAATAAATTAATCTAAGTTTGAAATATCTAAGGTTAACCCCATAAGGTTGCAAGGATAGAAGGATTAGAAAACTTGAGTTTGTGGCAAAGTCTTAATTTGTAATTGCTTTTACTATCATTTTTTTCAAAATTTGGCGATCGATGAAAAAAGTTATTAGTGCGTTTGTTGTGGCAAAAAAGACAATTTAGTTTAAAAACTCTAAGAACCGAAGATACGAAATATTAAATGCACGAACTTTTACAATTACGATCAGAGACAAAAACTCTTTCGGAAATTCTTTTCCGAATCTTAGTTTTTAAATGAAAAAACTTGGAATTTAATCCTAACATAATTGTGTAACAAGGCTGCTACTAGAAATAATTATTTGATGTAATTGTTATGAAACCTATTTATCTTAAATCTGCAGGATATTTGTGTAGGACGGAGATAGTCAATTTTCTCAAGACAAACTGCTCTTATCCCAGGATAGATTTGGTTGAAATAAATCAAGTTTTTACTTCTTTTCTCTTCCTAATCTCTGTAATTTGTGTGAGACCTCCCTCCATCCTATACATAATTAGTTGAATAGGCAAACATTATAGATTTAGCGTGTTGGATTCAAATAATTAGAATATTATAGAAGGGTGACACCACAAAATTAATAGAAAAATAAACAAATACATTTTTACTCGTCTAGATATCTAAGGTTCTGCTCAAATAGTAGAACCGGATACAAAATCAAACCACAGAAGAACGTGGTGATTTTTTTTTTAATCTACAAAGGAGAAATGTATAATTTGATTTGATTGTTTTATCGTGGAAAACTGTTAATTAGCACTAAAACATGAAGGATAAAAACCTAGTGCAATTTCCCAACCTTACAACAATTTTGGTGTCAATACTATGGGCTAAGTGTGATAAAGGATAATATAATAATGTTGATTGCAATTTTTTACACTTAGTGTAGATAGTAAACAATGATATCTAGGGAGTTGATAATTTTATAAGTTTTTGTAAACTTTTCAAACACGGTCTTTATTTATCTTAACACAAAGTTGTTTATCCAAACCTAGACAGTTATTTCAATATATAGTCATTTTACAAGAGTAAACATTTCATTATTTTTAACTGAAGGAGGAAATACAACTTCACAATAAATGTAAATCTCTGGCACATATATTCAATTATAAAGGAACTGAGTTCTTGCAACAAACTCTTGTTTTTAAATATATATCTTTGCAACCTAATGTTGTGGACCTCTGATATTTCAAAATATGAATCCTGCTTGATCAAATAGTCTAAGTTTGAAATATCAATAATAATATAATAATAATAATAATGTATTTCGACATTTTAAATTATATTAAAAGATTTCTTTACAATTGTGTCGAGGACTGAAAGGTCTGCGACTGTTACAAATTTAACCCTAGTATATAGAGCTATAGTGTTGTGGATCGTTTATGGTACATTTTTAGACAAGGGGTTATTAAAAACTACCTTGTATAATTTCTAACATTTATGCAGAAATATTTTTCTAAAAAAAAATTGTTGAATGTAAACTTGGTAGATGCAGACGGGAGTTTTATAACCGCTGATATGATCCGCTAACCACTAATGTATTTTTAACCAGTAGTTCTGCCACCACTCTCACTAGTCACTCCTTGCTAAATATCCGGTAGAACTTATATTAGCTATTTTCTAATCAACCTTATCAGAGACATATTTAATTTGTTAACAATATCATTTTACGGTCGAAAGAATAAGATACTTTATTTCATAAACGGAAAAGAACTGAACATTTGCTACAATTTCTAATATTTTATGCCAATATTTTCACAACCTAACGTCGTAGACCTTTGATATTTCATACTAATAATTATGTTAAATCAAATAAACTTAATTTTAAGATTGTTTTATGATAATTTCAGATCTCAAAAATAATTTAAAATTTTTTTAATCCTCTTTTATTTTTCTAGTTTACCAAATCCCTACAAAAAACAAACATTTGAATTCAGTTAACCATTTTGGGTAGAGAGATAGATAGATAGATATTTTGCATCTGTAGTGGACACATGTATCTGTGAGTCCTTGTATAGTAAACTGTTTGTGATGGTTTATTGATTTTTCCTCATAAATTTAAAGAAATCAATGGAAGTGTGAATGGAGCTTGTTAGCAACTGTTGGTGGTGTGTGCAGGGTGTGAAATTTTATACAATGGGTTGCTGACAGTGATATACTCTACTCTAGCACACGCCTCTACTCTAGTCCCTGATTAGAACAAGGGGGTGGACAAACTCCTCTAGAGAACTGAAAGAATAAGAGGAGAAGGAAATGGCCGGGAATGATTGAAAATTTAGGAGTACGGAAGTAAAAAAGAACAGAAGTAAATAAATGATTGCTTTCTTCACAAAATTGTTATAAAGTAGTGCAAACACCTTTGGTATTTTATTTGTATTATAACATAGAGGATTTGAAACCGTCACAATTGCTCAAAGCTTTTGTTTAATGTTTGTAAATAGTAGTTAAAAAACTGAACCATTTGCCCGGAGTATAATAGGTCTCATTGAACCAGCATGAAGCGCTAACACAGCTAGAAATGATTTGTAGAAAAATACCACAAAAGACAACATGGAGAGAAATGGTGAAATCAGTAAAAACAATCTTAATATATTGTTTGGACAGAAGAATAAAAAGAAATGAAAAGTATAGAGATAAAAGCAAAACAAAAAAAGGATAGGGAGGAGAGAACGTTTAAAGAGATACATTAAAGCGAAGTCAAATAAAAAGGATTAAAAGTTAGAGGAAAGAGGTTGCTGTACGTAATGAAAAACTGTTAGGGAACGATGAAGGAAGAATCTGTAAAAAAGGATAAAAAATCATAAAGGAGACGAGAACGAAAAAATGTTAGGAAGGATAAATTTGGATTCGTTTAAGCCACTGCAGACTACACAGAAGGAGAAGGTTAAAGGAATTGAGTCGTTGCCACAAACTCTGAATTTATAATCCCTATATCTTTGGAACCCAATGTCGTACATCTTTGATATTTCAAACTTATATTATTTGATCTAACAGAATTCATAGTTTGAAATATCTAAAGTTTACGACATTGGAATCCAAAGATATAGGGATTATAAATTCAGAGTTTGTGGCAAAGACTCAATTCCTTTATCCGAAATTACTGTTACGACTTTGTGACCTCTTAGCTCGTCTAGTTTTGATTGTACGCACAAGCATGAGGAAAGCAATTCTTTTCGGGACCAAATTTTATGAATTTGAGCTTATCTGTAGTTATCGCCTGAATGACATGGACAAATCCTGGATCACTGGTTCAAGTTACGTGATTGAACAGTCTTTAGACCTAGCTCAAATTCAATCCGGTCCCCGACAACATATTAGAAATTCAAACATATTTTTGGCTCAATAGCTCTTTGATAATAGAAATTATTATTGAAAACATATACAATTTCACTAATACGTTCAATTTACTCCAGTTGAAATTGAGACAAATCAAAGATAAAAAGTTAGAGTAGAAAAGATTGAATAAAAGGTTAGGGTAGAAAAGATTGAATAAAAGGTTAGGGTAGAAAGGATTGAATAAAAGGTTAAACTGAAAGGAGAATAAACCAAAAAAAAAAAAGTTCAAAAATTGGAAAGAACATGGGAAGATAAGAAAATGCAGTTGAAGAGTTACACGCGGTCAGATAAGGTTAGAGATTAGAATTCCTAAAGGTGTATAGGCTAATTTGATATTTGTATGTCTGCCTAATGTTGTTGGACTGTATTTAGTAATATTTATGTTATACGCTGAATTAGTTGGAAAAATGGCTCTAACAAAAGTATAAATCAACACGCTTAACACTTTTTTCAACCTCTTCGTGCAATATTGGACTTATGATCAAAAAAAAAATTTACTTTATCAAATTAATGAATATAAAATTTTAATGTATGATTATTAACAATTTTTGTTATCTGAACTAATACATAAATATCATTTTTAAACATTGAGGACAAATAAATCATAAACTCTACTTCTGTCATGCTTTTTGTCTTAAACGTAAGTTCCATGGCTGCTGTACCTTGGTTTGCAACAATACAGCTAAAGTGCATATACCTAATTCTAAACTCAAACTGCATAGCTGCGCTCCAAGGCATAGATAAGACATTCCTGGAATTAATCCCAACACCTATCCCCAACCAATCATTCATCAAGCTCGAGATAATGTAAACAAATTATGTAAACAAATTATTCCAACAAGAGACAGAACAGTGTGAGAACGATGCAAGATCTTGTCACAGTCGACAAGGTAGATTCCAGAACTATACTAGAAGGAGTAGGAGTATCAGAGAGTAGGAGTATCAGAGAGTAGGAGTATCAGAGAGTAGTTGAATAGTTGTGTTTTCTATGGTTCCGGTAGTGGCATAGTTGTGCACTCTATGGTTCTAGTAGTTGGATGGTTGTGTTCTCTATGATCTTGGTAGTTGAATAGTTGTTCTCTATATGGTTCTGGTAGATGAATAGATGTGTTCTTTTTGGTTCTGGTATAATAGTTGTGTTCTCTTTGGTTCTGATATAATACTTGTGATCTCTATGGTTCTGGTTGTTTAATAGTTGTGTTCTCTATGGTTCTGGTAGTTAAATAGTTGTGTTCTCTATGGGTCTGGTAGTTAAGTAGTTGTGTTCTCTATGGTCTAGAACTAGTAATTCGAGAATAACATGAACTTTAAACCGTGAACTATAAATTTACTCGCTGTCCCCGCTAATGTCAGTGTTCATAACTGTTATTATAGTAATCAGGTATAAAGACCTGTACACTAACTATTTAGTTAAAGATGAGTGGGTTAGGAGGGCGGAGTAGCAGGAAGAGGGAGAGTCTAGGGACTTTTTA